CATACGGGTGCTGCTAAAAATGGGCACTAGAGACAGTGGTTGGATTTTATTGTATAACTTCCTGAAAATGACCTGTAAAATTTATTTGCCATATGGGACTGCATCTGTCTTTTTCAATTCAATGATTCCAAGATTACTCATGAGCTTTGCCGCAAACTGTAATTAAATGTACAACTAAAGCAAAATCGGACAGCTTAGAATGCAAAAAGGTGTGTATTAGGCTCTTAGATCTGAAAAAGTCAGTGACACGCTCAAAGAAGACGAAGAAGGCAAGAGCATTATGAAAATTTTCAAAATTCCACAAAGTAGTTGCAAGATTTTTCATCCTTGCATAACCAAGTGGGTGTCTCAAGCTATAAATTTTGCATAATCCTCTGAGTGACATAAAGAACCCAAGGTACGGTATTAGATTCAAACACAAAGCAGCGAAATTACATTGTCACAAATTCAATAAGCTTAACATCAAGAAAGCTATTGCCAAGCGATTAAACATTAATTGGCCTAACTTTACGCCTGCAACGATGTTAGTTCACAATGTGCCCAGTTATAGTTTATGTTGACTACCAAAAGAGAATAATATGCAGACGATGATCGTCTGCATTTCCACAAGTAAGCTAAGCATTTTCTAACAAACTCGTGAATTTATAAATTCCGTGTAACTCTGATTTTTGTAGCATTTATTCGACCTATTAATTAGAATATACAGAATAAAATTTGCAAACTCATTGCTTGCAAATACGCCCTAGAATCTATCAGAACGCAGGTGCCTGATTTTAATTTGTTTAAATATTAAAAAATCGAAGGATAAGCACAAAGGCACGTTTAATGTACTTCTGACAAGACGTAGTTTTTACAATTGCTAAGACTCATGTGTTTCTGAATAAGCATTTCAAAAGATAAGCGTTGCGACAAAACAAGCTATTAATGCATTACACAAAAAAGCAAACGTACGGGATTTCGGTACTGGTCCCTGGATCTGAAAAACCTATAAGTGAGAATGCATAGATAATTGCTTAGTTCACACAAAATTTTTAGAAAAAAATTAGGCTTTAGTGAAATGTTCAGGCTCATAGGTAATAACAAAAATATTTCACAAATTTGGATGTTATGCCTAGTTGACCGTATTCATGGAGCTCAAAAGGCTTAATTTTAAATTATTTTCAATGCATCTGTGCTATAATAACGGAATTACGACAAAGGATCTAAAATTAAAATTTGCGTAAGTAGTCTGCGATTTCATGAATTCCTTTCGAAAATACCTACTGTCTACAAAGCCTGAGGTAGTAAAACCACATACAAATTTCAGAAATCCTCACGGAAATCTAGATGTTCTGAAATATTCATTTTTCTAACACTGCCCTACAGCTTTCGGGTTTCATGTGGCATTTGAAGATGCATGTCCTTACTGGTGACTTCCACAATCTTCACGCTCGCCAATATTCATTAAAGCGTCAAAAAATGTGGACTTTATTATGCACTAACATCGAGATTTACATATAAGTGGTCATGATGTAAAAAAAATCATGCTTTTAACCGATTAATCAATAATGCTGATCTGTTCATTGTTCAACTCACCAGATATCTGGATCCAATAACATTGTAGAACTTATTTAAGAGGGGCGATAATTAAAGTTTACTAGTTAGCAAACTCTTTGCTTTGATAATTCTAAATCCATGCCGAATCGATACCCGATTTTTCACTGCAAAACTAGTAAAAACTAGCAAAAATGCTACCAACGATGTGAGACCATTTCATTCACTTGTTGAGCACATATGTATTTCTTGATTATGGCGGAGTTGTTTAAGATTACTTTCATATGACACTGCCAGTCTGCTCAATTTTAGAGAAATTATTCAAGCAAGTCAAAAGTGAATTAAAATAGCTTACTGTAAAAATCTTGTGCGATTGACAACAGGAAGCAGGCAGCAAGGGCTAAAATAGTCAGTCCCCGCATGGTGAAATCGCGGTCAGCAATTCGACACCAACATTTATATATGTGGTCGACCTTCGCATGCTCTTGTCCAATAAACAATCTACACATTTAAACCATGGAGATAAATTAAGATTTTGACAAATGTGTTATTATAATCTTTACCTAAAAATGCACAAATAATGCTATCTGTGGTTTATTTAAAGCAATGCATGTTGGAACAATCCTTATTATCCTAATAATCCAGTGTGATTTTTAAACGAAAAGAGGAAGTTATTATAAATCACCAGCGACTAAATTATTTGGAAGTATGAATAAATATGCACACACATGGCTGGAATAACGCTATGGATGCCTTTATGTTCTTAGTAATTTTGTAACGATATTTGTTTAATACATTAAATGTTACTTTCATGGGAACATTGAAGTCGAGTGGAATTTTCTTAATCACCCCAAAACGACTATAGCAGATGCGTAGCTCACTGTACAGTGAATCTAGTAGTCATTAAATATGGTCTAACAGCAGAAAAAATAATAATATTTAGCGGATGGAAAAGTGGAACGATTTATAGCGCGTTGAAATTTTTCTCAGGTCAATTTTACGTAATATCACTTCTGTTTGATTAATTAAATTAAAGCAATTTTACCTGAAAATTTGAATTTTTGGTTAAGTAAACCTCCGATTACCAGACAGAATTTTTGGTTTTTCATAGACCATAGCTATGATCTTCATTTAATTTAATTTCTTTTCAAACAAACCGATGGTTTTGGCAATTTTTTTAGTGTAGGAATGTTCATTACCTAACATGACACATTTAAATGTGGTGTTTGATATCATTGAGCGTAGTTACTCAGTTTGTTTTCTAATAATTCACGTCATCCATGGTACTGTAGTATCACGCATTTATCTAATTTCAATAAACCGATTGTCGCAGCCTTTCTACGGCCTGTCCGCCAATCGCATGGAAACGTCTGCTCATTCACTCTTGTGCATTAACCACTTACAACCACTTTATATATTCAGACGCTAGTATTTTTACTAGATAACCCAGACTGCAGCAGCCATTCACTGCCTTTAATGCACGCAACCGATACACTCTAGTGGTCTTAGGTACGTATTATCACCGTGCGTTTCCTCGCATACCATTCTTTCGGGACCTCTGATAACAAGTTCAGAACAACCAAATCGCTACATAGTTGACTAGTCAACTGTCAGTTAACAGAAATAGCTAACCACACACCCAGCCAAAACACCATGACAGGAAACAATGAAATGGCGTGTCAGCTGATCAAAGTAAAGTACCGAGCCAAGGAGCCTACCTATCCGATCGTGCGTTCAGCGCCGTCTGTGAGCCTCGTGTAGCATAATCACTTCCCATGCGTTCTGGCAGGATACACAACAAACGACCCCCGTATGGCCGCCTGCAAGGTGTTGAATAGATATGATAACTTGTAGGTCTTTCATCAAACACTTCGGGCATGAATATACCGAATCCCATGGAAGGACTTAATTCGTCTCCAAATCTCACAAAAATAGGGAAGATATTTACTACCAAAACTCAAGATACGCAAGCAGAACAATTAAATAAATAACGCAACAAAATAGATCAAAACATGACGCATGTCACTGTTGGTGCTGCGGTGCTCTTTTTTCTGACGCATTGTTTAAGTAGGTTCTCAGGTTATCCTGCATGTTCTCCCACGAAAGCGCCACCAGATTGGTCAGGTGCGACATGGGGTTTTTCGAGGAGGCAGTAGGTCCCACAAGAGGGATCGTTGAGGAATTGAAGGGGTTCCTGCTGGTGCAGACTTGATTCAGTCTGGTGTCTGCGGATGTCGCGTTGGCCTTGGAGCTAGGTGAGTCGCCGTAGATTGAACTAAGCGAATTTAGTGAGCGCAGGAGATCTTCCAGTTCCTCCACGGAAAGGGTCAGGAATTCAGACCCGCAATGAGTGAGAGCTTGCATCCAGGACTAGAAACGAACCCAAATCACTATTTCACCAGAGTTTTACTGTTTAGAAAGAACTTATTGAACAAATTTAGCAACTGTGAATGCGGCGACTCGTTCGGCTCAGAATTTGGAGGGCCTCCATCAAACGACCAACATTAAGAAAAGAACTGTCCTCGGTGAATGGTTACCGCAAGGACACTTTTGGAGTAAAATCATCACGAAACTGACAAGGCTGGAATTCAAAGGCAGAATTTATAAAAAGCCAAACATCAATTTTTGCACACACCGGACCTACACAACAGAAAAAACTAACAGACCGACCACATAGTCCTGCAAGTTTCACACCGATGTGATTGGGTGAAGTGCAACAGATTGCGGCTGAAAATAAGCACTCAGCCACAACGACTAGGAGTTTCTAACTGCGTACCAACTGCACACGCCAATGACGCTAGATTCGTCACGCTGTGAAATGCAGTCTAATTTAATCGATTTGGTCGTAGTTGAGGATGCTGGTGCGATTATGACATGCTAAGAGGCACGCAACTTGTCAATAAAGAAGCCTCAAGCATGAAGCATGGCAAACAATTTTACAGGATGGAGGGGAACTTTCACGAGTTCCATCATGGAAAACGGTTCGCCTGCTTTACGCAGTCCGCTTAGTCACCTTACTTCATCCTGTTCGTGAAAATAATTCACCTTACGTACGTATTTCCGGCAAAAATGTGCCTCCTTAGCAAAAAACATCAATAGGAAAAAGGTGAGAATTCATTAAAACTGGAATAAACAGTCACAAGGGATGCCCACAACCTACACCCAAATCACTATTTGTGGTGTTCTTTCAACTCTAACAGTAACTTACCAATGTGCTCAAGCACCAAAAAGGATTCATGAATTCATACAAGAGTATATATCGCTAATAAAATGAATCCCACCAAATAATACATCGAATCTGTGTGTAACTACATCGTGTAAGGCAGCTACCATGGGTATACACTTGAATATTTGCATCCAAGTTCAATGGAAAAAAACAAGAGGAAAGCAAGTAACAAAGTCTGGTGGCACCGATAAGGCTAGAATTTTGAGCAACACGCTAAATTCCCACCTCGTGACTATAAAATAGAACCGACTCGAACTTACTTCAGCTTCGGCCTCACTTTCAGCCAGGAGAATGTAATTTCGGCCCGAGTAGGTATTGGTGTGAAACCGTATGGCAAACATATTCTCGTCAACAAGCTCCACGGAATGACCTTCCAAAAATATAACACCAAGGGGTTCCTTGGCATGTTTACTTTCGCTGTATGTAAGGACATTCCCGTGCAAGACAAAGTACCGACGTTTAAAAGAGCGTTTTGTCTCAGTTCGCTTCTTCAGCAGATATCCCTCCTTATCCGGTACCTTCGGAAAAGCGTAATTAGTAACTGTTTTTTCGTTGATTATCCTCATTAGCGGTCAACCATAAACCTAGGTGACGAAAAAATCTATTAACAACGGCGTGTGGTGTGGCGTCGGATCAGGGCGCAGACATGTTGGACCACCTGGCCTCAGCCAATCCCGTGTCTCTCTACGATCCAATGGCATGCTGGAAAGGAAGGCAGCCAACCAGAGAAGGACATGGATGAGATGCAGTATATAATGATCGGCGTGGCCAGCGTGGTGGACTCGGATGGAAGGCGCCTGACGCGTGGCTCTGGCTTCTGATTGGTCGATAAAGTCTGTTCTGTTGTACCGGTCTTTTACCTATTAGGGCTTGGGTATTCTACAGGCGACACTGGTATAGCCGCAGCCATATTGGATTGCATCATAAGCTCAGGCAATGGATGCCCAGGGGGATTTAAAGGGTTTGGAGGAAGATCGGCACCAAAATATTCATTAATTAAACGAATCAAAAGTACGCTCCAAAATTGCAGCCGTTGTGTAAATGTGTCGATTGTTGTCTGGGAACTTCGAGCACGTACATAAATGATACTCTGGTTTTGCTAACCTTTATTTCATAATGCGAGGACAAACTAATTTAACGTTTGCTCTTTGCTTTTTATTGTCGCTATCTCAGGAAAATTGTTTAACTGAATGTTGGATGTTTTAATTATCTTTTGACATTATTTCTTAATTCACGTTTAGCGACTAAATTATCCGTGCAAATCCGATGATAGTAATCATTTTGCATGGCCTTGCTTTTGGGCTTAGGGAATATATGAAATGGGGTGGACCAAGTATCATTTTAGATTTAATTAGTAAATAAAATTTATAATTACGTTTTTCATTTTATATCAAGTCGAAATATAGCAAGTAACATATTTTTCGCCAGATCAAAACCTAAACATCAGTCTTTTAATGTTGACTCATGTACCATTTCATACACAAAAACCGGTGTATTGTGCAACAAGCAATTACCACTATTTATTTATCCGTGAAAAATATATGATATTTGATACTATTTTGACAACTTTTTGTGGCATCATGAACGTTTTGCATAGTTGGTTCATGATTAACTGGAATCGATGATCAGAAAATAAGTCCGGTAAAATGAAGTTACATGGCAGTTGATTTTTTAAAAATTATCCGACAACAAGTTGAATAAACAACAAATCTAAGCAACTATATTCCAGCATACCCGTTACAGCGAAATAAAGGGCTATGTGAAAATAATATGAAAATATCACACAGACACCTATGTTAAGTGCCTAATACGGCAAAGAAAATAACGTTTGAGGTTTGATTTCACCGCAACTGCCCACATTACTTATAGAACATACAATTTTGTGGTTGACAACTTATTCTTTAGCAATCTTGGTGAAGTGTTTGACTACTGGAAACTGGAAGTTAGAGGTGCTCTTAGCAGCAGTGTAGAGACATTCTTCTACCTGGACTTAATCCAACAAATTTGATTTTATTTCCCACAAGGTGCACTATAGTACAATTTTGGAAAGCCAAGGACTTTTTTGATGGAAACAGCAATTTTAGTGGGGCTCAATTTTCAGACCATGGTACTTTGAAGGACGAATGGAACATTGCAACTTTTTATACGTCTACAGCATTAATACTTATGGTTTGAACAGTATGGGTCTAGGATCATACAAAAGAAACCCCTATAATCTGAAATTTTCAGTGTGAACTGACATTGATCTAACTTGGTGGTGATAACGCACGACGAAATGTGGATGGGCAGTGCCTCAACCCTGCTTATCCAATCCAAACCCCTGAATTCCTCCAAACTCAAAATCGTCGCATTTGAGAAAGTTTGTTGTATGCATCTTTACTGCAAAAAGTTTCATTATCATTTTGAAAAATCAACGTACTATCTCCGAATGTTGACGTCGACAACATTTTTAATGTGCGCAGCCTTTTGGATGGTGTGATTTTTTAACAGCGGAACGTTACTCATTACGAGTTTCCGAATGTCAAGTACTAAATCAGAGGCAATATTGAATCTGTCTGTGAAACGATGTCAGCAAATCTTGGAATATGTTGCTGCGATTTGAAAGGATCCAGTATCGTGTCTCTGCTATACTGGTAGAGAAGGCATTTGGTGCTGTTCGTGATATAATTAGCTGGACAGTCGCACTTCCAAGCCTTACGGAAATCAGCGGAGCATAATCCACTAATCCAATGTCAAGCAAATTAACTGTTTGCTGGATTTCCGTAAACAACAGATTAGAGCCAACCAGAATATGCAAAATAAAGGTCAGCTAGCACTGTCGTAATAACCCCTATTATTCTTCACACATATTGGCAGCAGTTATGTTGCAATTTAATTGTGGATTCAAAAGCAGAAATTCACTGTAGCGAAAAGACAATTTCTTGGAATACCATGGCAACGGTCCATGATAGCTTTCAGCCCTGACTTAGCTAATTTTTGAAATTAAAGTTGACTTTTAAGAGTTATATCGGAAAAAAGGACACAACCAATATCGACTTTTAATCACATTACTAAACTGAATGCCACACTGAGAAATTCGATGCAACTTAGAGTCATGATTTAGTCGGTATTAACCTAAATATCATGCTAGAAGGTATGAAGTTTACTCTAATTTTTCAGTAATTGATGTGGAGAAATTTGATTAATTTGAACATGGAAATTGTTATAAACTCATTACGAGAGATTTGCAGGGGGTTCATTAAGAAAGATGGTCTTAAAAAATTCACACAACGATGACGATTTTAAAAATACATACATTTAATATCTACTGACCAGCTATCATAATCCCCACTCCAAATCATTTTCTATAAGCAAATCGAGAAAAAATCAATATTGATTAATACTTATTACTACTGATCGGTACAGGTAAAAACCTAAAGAAGGTGTTATTTTGAATTTAAGGATTCTGTGCTGCTAAGCAGCAACCTTCGTAATCACACATTTACTAACTGGTGGCAACGTGTTGGGTTTTCGGAAATGGTTTTCGAAACGTCGAGAGAACAAAATAGAGATCAGCAACAATTAAAGACAAAGTTGTGCTGTGTTTGGCAGGTTCTGCGTAGGTTTTATCATAAATAGGATAAAAGAGTGTTTCTGAGACGAAACTATGACTCTGTTTCAGCTGCATGTGTTTCGTGTTCCACTCCCAAAATGCGAACAAGCGTTCCAATGAACGCGCCTTTTATTTAAATCACATGGAAATCCATTCTTTAAATCACACTGGAGCTCCTTTGTCGATGTTATATTTTAATGACAGCCGGCGAAAACTCACTTGGTTTGATTACGAATTTCTGCGAGTCATATAATCCAAAGGGACTAAGATATGACTTACTGAATGAAACAATTTGGTTGACAGTAAGTCAAATACGAGGAGGGAATCACAAGTAACAAATTAGAACTTTAAAAAATGGGGCATGAAATTGAAAGTAATTTGTTTACGCAGGAAACTGGTTAGTGGGATTACCTTATCGGCTTCTGAGAGTAAAATGTGGTATTAAATGTCTGAAAGATCCAATGGTAACCGCGATTAATTAAGCTTTTACAATCAAACGCTCAAAATTGAAACAGCATGACTGACCAACAAACCGGAGCCACAACAAACACAACGATTTATTGCTGTCTTACGCCTACTTATCACGCAAAGTAAGCTCAGCAAGGGCTAGTGAGAAAAATGCAGTGGAAGTCAATTTTAAAAAAAACAGGCCCATTTTAGTGTCATATTTTGCGTTCTTAAAATTCCTCACTGTAATTACATGGAATCCGTGGTCAAAATAGGGTTTTTATTAAATTTATACTGGGTTTTTTACATGTTACGTCTCAAACATCCATGAATGAAATTTGCTACTGCAAACCACGAAGATCTCTTGCTACAAAGCATAGCACAGTAGGCAGCTGTAATTTTTCGGTAGCCTAAACTACAATTTTAAGCGACGTGGTATATCCCTTGTTATTCAAAAAATTTACTAATTAAAGATTATCCACTCTTGAATTAGCACTTAAGGGAGGTCATGACATAGCCACACAGTTTCATCGTTTGTTAGCTAAAAGGTCTAAGGTATTACCAGTTAGGCGTGTCCTCAAATCAGATTAATGTCTACTGTTAGTTTAAACTTGTCGTGGAAAAAGGTCTGATTATGGCAAATTACTATTACACTATCTGACTCAATGGTTTGTCATTATAATACAAACAGTTTACATCAAGTCAGGTCTTTGGCTGAGACAGGGGATAACATCATAAATACAAGTATCAAATTTAGTTTGAATATGGCACCAGTCACCTGTCCGAGGAGGGTTAAGCACTTTCAGGATAGGATATTGCATACAGCTGGGCTGACGCGGTCTCGCACAATCCAAATAGCATTCCTATCTTTAAAACAGGCGATTGGAATGACCAGCATGGCACCAATGAAGTCTTTGTTTTGAGGAACACGATGGAGGCTTTCAGTAAGACAATTTCCAAGATGCGGAGCCTTTAATTAACTGAGTTGTCGATTGCCTTCTGATTAGGTGTCTTTTTGTTCCAAATTCATAGCGTCTCTTTCGCATCACCAAAGACTCGAAAACAGATTAAAGGTGGACAAAGTTGACGATTGTGCTAATCGGAATGATACTTTCACAATCATGGGAGTCGCCTAGAAGTAGGCAAGCAGTCGAAATATGTTTTTTTTTTTAAATTAATCCGTTAAAACCAACTCTGTTCAGTTAAATACACTTTGTAGCAGTTGGAAATAAAAACAGCTGAAGTGCAAGGGGAATCAAAACCCATCGAAAAAAGGATTTTCTAACACAAACAATGAACTACCTCGGCCCAAAGGCCTATTTTATGAAACCATTGTCCGTTAAAGACAAAGATATGTCTATCTGTCAACTAACAACGCCCGCACAGTTAAGTTGCTTGACATTGGATTAGTGGATTATGCTCCGCTGATTTCCGTAAGGCTTGGAAGTGCGACTGTCCAGCTAATTATATC